GTTACAATGTGCTTGTTTCAGTAGTGATACAGAGGTACAATGTCCAGATAATGCTCAAGAATAGTGGTATCAGTGGTGGATGTCCAAGTTCTGCTATGGTACAGGAGAGGATGGTGAAGAATTTCTCGGAGTCCAGCAAAGAGCGCTATATATGGCTGCTATTCTGTGCTATAGTGTGAGCTTGTGTAGTGTAGTGGTTGAACATGCTGTGTTGGACACTGAAATTGCAGGTTGCTGGTTCAATTCCCTGTGGTGGCATTTTTTTTGCCGCCGCTGCACCCACTAACAAATATTGTACACTTGACCTTGATCAAGAGCAGCTGTCCTTTGATTTACTTCCATGCATATCATCTTTATTCAATACATCTCACAGTGAACTTGGGCATGAACTTGAACAGGGACTTGGAGGACTTGGCCAAGTCGACCCGCCCGACTTGGCCAAGTCCATTGGACTTGGGGTACTTGAGGTACTTGGGATACTTGAGGTACTTGGCCAAGTACCCCAAGTACCTGTACAAGTCCGTGACGTTTTCCTGATGCATAGGTATGTGTCCATCGCCGATCGGCGCAGCAAATACGTACGTCCCGTCTGCGCGTTTGTTCTGTAGAAGTTCGAGGGCAAGCGGGCACAAATGGGATTCGCGTTTGGCCGGTGCAAACACGTGCCGTACATAGTACATACAATAGACCTTATATACACAGTAGAATAGGGGTAGATAAGGGCGCGGGTATCCGTCGGGGGGCGGGACCTGTGGCGCTCGTTCCGCGAGCTCGCCATCTTGACGCCAGGATTCCAACATGTTCACCGGTCCAAGCATGGGCTATTGTCGTGTTCAGACTCTGAGGAATGAGAAACTATCAACTCCACTCACAATTGTAAGCATCTCCATATAGACCATCGTGGACAGAATGCTCCACGACATGGCTCGGTCGCTAACAACGGACGGCTGAGCACGCATCCACTCGCCCACGCGGCCTTTAGCATCGTGGTGCTCGCAACGGTAGATAAGATCGTAACTTCCTTTCTGCTGGTGCATGAAGCATCGTATTGTGCAGACAGACTGAGCTAGACGTACCTTGAACGAGTAGTCAAGTCCGCTCCAAACGTAATGCTTGAGCGTTCCAATCTGCTTCGCCAGCTCGAAAATACGCATCCCGGTGTAGATCTCCTTGGCTTCGCCAATCGTGAAGCTATCAGTGTTCACGAATGCGCCGTACACGCCATCCAGCGCGGCGTACACGCTATCAAAGTCATCTGTGCTGCCTATGCAGCCGTTAATGGCGTAGGCACACATACGAAGGAGCATATTTACCTTTGAATATTTCTACGCCTTGCGCAGTCAGCTGTTGAGCGCGCGAGCTGTCGGGGTTGCGAGTCAACACCCGAACGGCGTAAGGCGATGGTGCACCATCAGAGGCAGGGGCTAGAAGAGCTTGGACAACGGGAATTCCTTGCGCCCCTGTACCGCCGATCACCAGAATGAGCTTTTTGGAAGAGCGCGTCGTAGTAGAGGCCATATTTGAAGATGTGTATGTAGCTCATTTGGACTCTCTGGCATCTTATAGGTCGGCTGGCAATGCATGAGCTTGGCGTTCAACTCCCAGCGCCAGTACATCGTATGACCCTCGGACTAACTCAGCGTCCCCGAGGAAGTGCACGTAAGTACTGTGAAAGTTGCTGTAGTGAATCGGTTCTATGAGATGTCGAAATGAAACACGATGGAGATGCATATCGTAATCGATACCTCGGCCTTGCCCCCGAACCTCGGCACGCTGAAGCAGCCCGTCGGTAAGCATTAGGATTGGTCCACGCAATTGCTCTGCAGGACTACCGTACAGATAACATCGATGTCAATAAAAGTACTCGACAAGGACGCCTGCGCGCCATAATTGTTGAAACACCCAGACGGAAGGGTGGAGGGGCGCTAATCGATCGTGCAAACATGTACCGCAGTCCTGACCAACTTACTGATCCTTTAAGCGCCGACGACCGGATGGGGAGGAACGGGAGGCTCTGATTCTGGTTGTCTACAGCGTATGACAAGACCTCTTGTATACCATGATATCATAGTCAGTGGTATCAGTTATAGCCAGGCTGGCCCGGGATATAGTACTTGCTGTGCAACTTTTTGGATGGGTGATGATGGTGGATGGATAGATACGAATGCACGAACTGTCTCTTCCAATCTGGCCTCGGTCTCGTAGTCCCTGCATCAACTTCAACACCGACCTCCCCCACCCTAACCATATCACGAGCGACAAGATAACGAGAGGGGAAGGATAACGACACAAGCATCTAACAGTGATAGGCTACAGCCTTACAGCCCGCCCCGCGCAGGCCTGCGTACAACATGTCGACAGCATAGCATGAGCAACAGAGAAACGGAACACCGAGGTTTTGCGAAGCCAGACCCTCGCAGCATAGGCGATGAGAAAGCACATTACGGAGCATGAGAGGCGTGAAGCCGAGAGCGTACGATTGGGATGAAGGTGACATGGACATGAGGGAACGGAGGGTGAGAGGCGAGGCGAGGCTACATGGATTTAGACGATGGCTTTGATGAGCAGGCCCTCGAGCCTACAATATTCCGGAACGAGTGCAGCGTATGACATGAACGCGTCCACGTCTGGCTCCGCGACTTTCGCAAGACCCAGTTGAAGCTCGGCGTCCGACGTGATCATCGCGGTCACGGGTTGCAATGTCGATGGCGCAGATGAAGATGAAGACGGATCGCCTTGGTTGGGGTTCGGACTTGTGAGCGAACCGAGGTCGGGAGTGGTGAACGCCGTCGAAGGCGCATCCCCGAGTGTGCTCCCACTCAACGTCGTGCCCGCCGTGGAGCTCGTGACTGTTCGGAGTCGCGCGATATCCGTCTCGCTGAACCCGAGGCCAAATCCGCCTTGTACTCGCTCCATCTCCTCTATCTCCTCCTCTTCTTCCTCCACAAGCACTGATGAGCCGAGAGCAGACCGAGAGCCGTGGCCGTACGGTGTACTCGCCCCGCTTCCAGTGGCACTTGGCGTCTTGCTGGTGCTCCCAGGCGCATTGACGTTGGTGCGCAGGGGCGCGCCGTTCGTAGCAGCCCAACGCTTTCCGAGCAGTCTCCGGATCTCCTCCTCAAAGCCACCGCGGCCGGTACCTGCCGGTGTGCCCTTCTCCTTACCCCACACCCACCGCGCGATGTACGCGCCACCAAGAGCTGCGCGAGCAGGAAACCCAGGCGCAGGCGCGTTGCGGTGGGGGATCACTTGTGCGGCATCGATCTGAGTGGTGGGCATCAACACAGGCGCATTGAAGACGTCACCGGCGAGGTTCGCGATTGAGGGGAAGTTCGCTGCCGCGCCGGTGGCAAGGATGCGTGCGGGCAGGGGGGAGTAGTCATATGGGTCGAAGGGTAGACCCATATTATTGCTGTTGTTGACGCCAGGCGCACGCTTTTGCGTCGCACCAGAGATCGGGCTCGGTGTGCTGTTCGTGTTGCGCGCGCGCCCCGACGCAGTGCCGAAGACGCCAGTGGGAAGTGCTCGCGACCAGCGGACTCGGAAGGAGAGGATCTGACTCTCTAGCAGGCAGCGAGGATTAGCACGAAGGTCTCGAAATTCGTTGACCTTAACACCAGTCTCGAAGCGGTATATGCCCTTGACATGGGAGTAAGGATAGCTGTCGCCCTGAAGAAGCCAGAAGCTGAACAGCTTGTCGTCGAGGCTGCGTACCACATTAGCCATGTTCCAAGTATTTGCGCCGTTGGTACCTACCCAATGGATCCACCGGGGGGAACGATGGCGACAAGACGGTCGAACGCGCTCCAACTCTTCGTGTACATGTCTCGCACTAGTGCACGGGGGACGTCCGCATTCCTACCAGACAATTACCTTCTGTTCAAAACGCAAGCCGGAGCGGGAAGGACATACCTGCTGGTGAGCGTCAGTATGTAACGCTTCTTCTCGCTGGCATCCTGAGCAGGATGGGGGTAGAGGTTGTAGAAACGTGTAGGGACAAAGTTCGGAGCGGGGGCCATCAGGGAATCCATCGGGCCGAAGGAAAGCACCGCATCAGACGGCGACGGACACAGCGAGAGGTACAATGAAAGGTAATCGGATGTGAAAGGAGTGATGATCGTCTCTAACCGTCGTCGCGTGCAACCGACTCAGCAAACGAGACCTTCCGAGCCGAGGTGCGACGAACGAACCTGGGTCAAAGCCGTAGCGCTCCACGAGATATCTCGACACGTTCCCGATCCGCCTCCGCCCGCCCGACACGTCGACGTCGCCTAGCCAGTTCCAGATGCGCCGGCCCTCCTCCCTGTTCCCGCCTACAATTTCCATCACGCCCTCGTCCCAGTGGCTTTGCACGCCAGGCTGGGCCCCTGCGTGCGCCCACAGCCCGGTTGACGAAGCCTCCGCCTCGCCCATCCCTGTCATTTGCCCAGTGAGCAGGCTGGAGAGGAACGAGCTCGCCATCTGGACGCGCCCTGTGCGTGCCCAGATGTCTGGCCAGGCTTCTCGCACTCGGAGAATCTGCGCGGCCACAAGCGATGGGTGTGCACACGTTCCGACGCGCTGAGCCATCAAGTCGGGACCACCGAGGGCAGCCTCGAGGGCGAGAGCGTGAGTGTGTGCCGATGTGTCTTGGGCGATAGGGGGGTTTTGAAGCGAGAAGGATTGGGAGGTGAGCTGCGCATGGACGGGTAGGCGGGGGTCGAGTGCATGGAGTGGTGGCACGGGCGCTTTCCACCAGACTAATGCTTGCTGAAGGAAACTGGGTCAGAAGACATCCCGGACAGAGATGAGCGAGTATCGATGGTTATGTTTCAACTCGATTGGCATGAGATGGACCCCCCATGGAGGGAGACGCATTTTACCCGCGACCTGTATCACTCAAAATCTTCATGTGAAGTTCCTACTCTCATCCATGAAAAGTTGACTTGCGAGGCACAATGCGAGCGTACAGCCCCGCACTCATATGGACGCCAAGGTCGTCCATGATGTCACTTCGGAACAAACGCGATCGACGATCGAAACAGATCGAAACACGCCAACCGAGCTGTGCCCCGATAACCACAAGCACTGACTTGAGCGAAACCAGGCTTACCTGAGCAGCACCTCCGATGGCTCTTATCCTCGCCACGTCGTAGTTCTTGCTAAGCTTTTCGAGGATGAGATCTAGATGTCACGGAATGACGCGTTATGCGTGACGGTCATCGATCAGCACAAGCGCGGGCATCATTGTAAGAATGGAGCGCGCGCAAAAATGCTTCCGCGAAGGTAAGAAATGATCTAAACCCACCGAAACCCTTCAGCCACATCTCGATGGGTGTTGTGTAGGCATCTCCTGGTGTAGTAAAGATGCCACCTTGTGTTCTGCGATGGACGTATTAGTAGGTTGGTTGGATATACGGCGTAACGATAGTTGAAACCAGACACATGAGCTGGAGGGCCAGACAGATTGCAAGAACAACCGTAACCCGGCCGGCGCAAGGCAGCAATCACGCATGTCTGGGCTATGCGGAACCCAAGATGGACTCGCACTGATCGTCGAGCGATGTGAGGTACATTTTAACGCTGCCCATGCTCAAGTCAGAAATTTACCGAAGGAGAGACTCCTCCATTAGATCTAGCGGACGAGATCTAACGGTAGGTACCATTTCCCGCCTTGCCAGCTGTCAACTGCTAAGTCATCGCGGGCCAGTAGAGCCGGGCGCAACCGGAGACCCGCAAAGGTTACGGAGATAAATTGAAGGCACGCGGGACGCGCGCTTGATATAATCCGTTGTGGAGTGCGACATAAGACGTAAAACGTCCGCACCGGCGGTCTCCAAAGTAGAGTACCAAGACTGGAGAAATTTGCACTGCGCGAGGCAGGGCAAGTGCGAACACGTGCGCAATCCGCCTCGCTTTGTATATCCGTCCGCGATGATATAGGATGGATTGAGAGGCAGATAGTTGACCTGGAGGTGAGGGAGACACTGGGGACGTCTCAAGCGCCCTCCTCGCGGCAGAGTGCGAGAAAACTTGCGACAAGGCAAGGAGATGGAGCGTGAGGCTATAGCGTTCTGGAATTGATCAGGAAACGAAGCTGCCTGCGCCGCGGTGACTCTGAATGCTTCATGTATCGGGGTACGGCTTGAAGTAATGCCTCTGGATGGGCCCAAAGGCTAAGCAGGATTCGGAGGCCATAATCGCGGCGCGATGGACAGCGGAAAGCTGGGCGGTGCGCCGGACAAAGCACTCTAGAGAGCCAGGGTGTTACCCTGTAGAGACAGTATGGCTAGTGAGCTAGCCAACTGCGTCATAAGGCGTCCATCGTATACAAGAACGCAGAAACTGGGGCACATAATTGATGGGGTTCCACGGCGCTGGGACACGCGCGTGCGAAGGAAGAACATGGGACGGGTCGAACACTCACTGGTACTCTGAGATCTCCGTATCAAAGTCCACAATCTCTACGCCGACAAGCTCAAGATTCTCGTCTACAATTGATGCCCTTAGCTGATCCGTCGCGAGCTCCAAACCAAGGAAGAACGTGGAGAGGCTCTTGGGGGGCATATCGTTGCGTCCGTTTCTCGTGTGCGCCCAGAGCTCGCGGGAAAAGAAAATGCCGTGAGAGGTTCAAAGCGGTGAGAGAGGGAGAGAGAGAAGGAGAAGGAAGGTCGTCGCGGTCGTATCGTGGTCGTCGGAGGAAGAGAGCGGTCGAGTTCTCAGCTTCTGCGAAACATCACCATCAAAGTTCATGGCGGGTTTGTTTGCCGCTCCCTCATGTCCTTTAGGCGTCTACGTTTGTGGCGTTATGCCCCGATATGGGCTAAAGAAATCCTAATCTCTGTTAATAAGTCCCTGATAACCCGTTGTAGCCATCCGCTTGTCCCGGCCAGACCCATTCGCCGAAAATTGGCAACTACTGCGACGTTGAAGACACACAAGATACCACGGTCTTGCATACAATTGATCAACGTCAGCTATGAACCTAGTGACATTCCAGAGTCCTATATGGCGCATGGGCAAAGGAAGAGGATGAGATGATATAGTAAGTGATCTCCCTGCTTCGTCTGCGAGGCATATTCCACGCGATTGCTTGGTGGTTACTTCATCCACTCACTTGACAAGTTTTCTGTAGGCCAACGAGAGCACTTCTGGGTACCGCCACCTTCTGTACCTACGGTTGTCGCAACATGTTCGTGCAATGCAATGGCATGTATGGCGCAAGCCAGGGTTAGATATCTAGATCCTCACATTTCGGACGAAGTGAAGTCTGTTCTCTTGGGTCGTCGGGAATATTTGGGCGTTCCGACGCAGCAGACTTGCACCGATGACACTTGAAGCGTGGTACATATTCGTACAAGGCTATCCCACGTTCTACTCCTGACAGAACAATGAAGGAAGGAGACATTCCCATATGACTCGGCGATCGATTTCATATCTCATGTGCGTCCGACACCACGCCTTGCCACATACACATGCAAATCATGAAGCCCGCGTCGTGAAATGAAGGACATCAGATCCTTCGCCATAGTTGGCGTCCCAATCGAAGTCGCTCTGGTGGTTCTCTGCCCCAAACGCCACGATTAACTTCTCAGCCTCCGGTCCCCCACGGACGACGGGCCTCGCATCCTCTCGCGTCTTCCCCCTCGCCCCTTGTCCAAATATCCTCTCTTCATCCTTGGTCAAGAACGTGCCGATCGTACGGAATGTCAAGCTTATGCGCTCCCCATTCTGCAATTGCTCCGCCGGACTCTTGATCTTGAGCGGCCGCTTGTCGGTGCGGATGCTATGCAGCCACTTCGCGTTCGTCTGGAGCCCCATGACCAAAATCGAGTTGTGCGGCAGGGGCACGCGCTGCACACCACGCTTGTTTGGCCTGTCCGACACGGAGGATTCTGTGGCGGCGGCATCCAGGTCGGCCTTGGGGTTCGCGAGAGCGTCTTTCTTCGTGCGCAATGTCATGAAGCGCTGCGCGCCCAGGCTAACGTTGACGATCTGAGAGCCGCGGACGACGTCGATCGTCTTGTCCGAATGCTCGGAGATGTAATCACACCCGCTGCGGTAGTGCTGGATGAGAACGTGGTTGACGGGTTTTTGAAGAAGGTCCTCGACGTGTTGACGGATGCGCTCGACAGTTGGGGAGAATGGCAGGCAGGGAGGCGATTCGTCTGCAGGGTGCCGGTATATCGGGAAACTGTTCCAACAAATTGGTTGAGCATTTCTCATCATCCCCTGTTTGTCCCTGTAATTAGAAGCACCTTCCGTCTTCAAGGACACGTCCTTCCACAGCTACCAATCTCGGGACTTCTCCCCCTGCGGTGCATTGGTACTCAGGAGCATCCTGTCTGTGATGATGACTTACCTCTGTGCATCATGGTTATCCACTTGACCTCCTTCTTGAGGTTATCGAACGCAGCTTCAGCGAGCTCCGGGGGTAGGAAGTCGTACCCGACATAAGAGTCGCCCTCTCCGACGACCTCTCCAGGAGCCAAGAAATCTCGTTCGGTCAATCCAACCATATCTGTAGTATCGCCTCAGCCTGCTGATTTTCTGGGAACGATCGGTGTCTTGCTATAGATAGCAAATATTGCATACTATGGATGGTGATGAAACGGAGTCAAGGGTTGTACTCGCCGGGTACACTGCCACGAACTTGTTGTCGTGAGACGCCTCGGTGGACATGCCATGCCACGGGTGGCATACGTTACCACGGATGCACTGACTTGTTTGACTCGACACTCCCAGGCTCTGGAAACTTCTAGTTGTCTTGATATTGACCACGAGCACTATCCGCCACTAAGAACCCTGCTGCACCTATTCGATGAGGCCTACCATTACTTGCCATTAGCCAAAGTATGCTCTTCGCTCGAGATAGACGATGAGCTCAACGCACGGCTCTTCCGTCGGTCGGTCGCTGGCGTTCAGCCTAGACGAAGCACAGTGTGAAAATATATAGCTGCAAGGAGTTGTTCGTGCCACGAGCGAGAGCAGGGTCGTGTCAAAATGTGAATTGATAAACCAGTACTAGTGGTCATACAATGAACAGGAGTTGTGTACAAACAAGATGGCGCGGGAGTTCTTGTACTCGTAAATGGCAATAGGATGCAACGGGATGGAATGAGCGATGTTATGTACTTCTTCGGCGGCGGCGCCTTACGTACAAGAAAGGGAGGATCTGGCGAAGGAAGCGAGGTGTGTTCGCAAGTGTGACAACGGCGAAGGATCGAGACGGCGCAAGCATGCGAAAATGTACATGCAAAATTCCAACTTTAACCCGAGACCCACGAAGCAAGCAGTTCCTATCCTGAAGTCTATAAGTGTGAAGGAAAGCGGAACTATAAGGACACGAAGCAAAGCGGCACCGTCGACGAGATTCGGTAATAAGGGTAACAGGCGACCAGCAGCGGATAATGAGAGGATGGGTCGCGGGTCGGAAATGTAATGGTTGTCGCAGTCGTATAACTAGCTAGCTGATAATGGTATTGTAAGAAAAGGGCCATCACTTCTACACTCTACTCTAACACGCGCCAGCATCAGTGTTGATCGAGTACGCACTATGTTACGGTAGCCCGAAGGGAAGCCAAGCCCAGGGCCCCCCAGAATGTCGCCTCGTGCTGCGTCGCCTCACGCGACCCGCTCATATCGCGATTCCAACGCCCTGAACCGAACGAAGAGACGTCGTGCTCGGCATCCGCAGCAGGCTTGCCCGCACCGCTGGGGTGGGCATCACCGGTGTCCCCGGCGTCGTCGGCGTCGTCGGCGTCGAGCGGTAGACCATCCCCGTGCCTGTCCTCGGCTTCAGCCTCGCACTGCTCGACGCGGACGAGCTTGACGAACTGCGCGCCATGAGGCCGGTCTTGACCGGAGACTGAGAGGGGAATGCGACCCCGTCTTGCGGAGGCGCGCTCTTGGCCATCGAGGCCGAGCGAGGTGTGGCTTGCGGCTGGCGCAGTACCTGGGAAGGCATTCGGCGGAGACTCGGAGCGCTTGAATGTCCTGCACTGAAGGAGAGGGATGTCCGGAGCGACGACGTCTCGCTGGAAGGCGTTCGGAGGCTGCTTTGTGACTGGGGTAGCCGGAGAGGGCGAGGAACGTTCAGCGTCCGTGCACTCAAAGCGGAGCTGTGATGGATTCCATCGCGAGAGGTCAGATCAGACGTGCCGGTATGGTCGAGTAGTTTGCGAGTCGTCTTGGAGGAAAGAGAACCCAGGCTTGTCCTACCCAGGGAAGGTGTATCCGCCGGTGTGATAGGGGTGACTAGGCTGGCGGTAGACGACGAGGTCGACGGAGTATTAAAGCCAAACTCGTCGCCTTCCCGGATATGCCCAAGCGATTTGGCACCCGCGTCCAGACCATGTCGACTGGGCGAGCTCCCAAGACCTGACAGATGCGAAGAAGTCGATGTTCGCGAAAATGGTCGCGACAGCGCTGACTTCGAAGATGCACTAGACAAGGAACTGCTCGTACTCGTCCTCCTGTCCAAGCCAGAAGTGAGTCGCGACCGCGGCCAAGAGGTGGGTGGTGCCGACGAGCGAGTACTTTTCGGGAGCATCCCGAATTCGTCCATGCGATTCTCCGAGATGTGCTCGCTGTAAGACCGTGTCACAGAATTCAGGCTGCGGGAGGACGCCGTGGAGACCCGTTTCTTGAGGTTGCCGGTCGATATTTGACGGATCAGGGGAGCAGGCGCGTCCTCGTCTTCACTGTCACTCCACCCGAGGCCTGTCGTGAGACCTATGCCGCCTCGGAGCATCTTGCCGTCACGATGGCGAACGCGACGCTTGATCGTATCACGCTCGTCCTTGAACAGACCGTTCTTCGTCATCATGGACCCTACTACAACACACAGTCAATCACATGGCAGCAACGCACAGACCGCCTCCACCCACCAGTGGAAGCAAGACTGACGCAGCTCCCAGGCCGGTTGCCAGGGAGCGGCGTCGTATTCCGCGACGCGGCTACGAGCTTCGAATTCGGGGAAAGCAGGCCATCCCGCACCATGAGTTGCCTGGGTAACTCGGTGAGCACGCAAATAGCTCGTCAAATAGGAGATAGAACGCACGGAAGTGGGGTGTGCAAGTCAAGACTCGAATCCGAGTCGCTGCCATCTCCGTCCAGTTCTCTGTCCAAGCGGGCCTCCTCATCTCCGTCCAGAATGTCATACGGTGTTCCCGTCTCGTCCACTGGAACACCGTAATCCGTAACGAATGAGTCCTCATCCCAGGGCTCGCGCGAAGCGGGGACCATAGCTGTCTGTTCGTACGCGAGCTCACTGGGAGACTCCGGCCGCGATGACTCCCTCCGTCCACGGGGGAGAGATGGCACGTTCGGCACGCTAGTGCGGTGGTAACTGCCGCTCACCGCACTTGTCCGACGTGAGACTGGTGCCGAGTGTGCAGAACGCGATGTAGACCGTGAGCGCAACCCAGAGCCATGTGACGACTTGCGCCGTGGACGAGGAGTGCTTGCGAGGATTTCTGTTATGTCAGGACTGCTTGGGCGGCGCGCATGACTAAGCGACTGGGACTGGGAGCGAGAGGTTGACTCAGATGGTGTGTTAGATGGAGGCGGGGGTGGCTGTGTGAGCGGCGGTGGGGGGAGAGGAGGCAGGGCTTTGTCTGAAGAGTGCCGGATGCTTCTCGATAACGACCTGGTGTGCGTGGGAGGAGACACTTGCGGTGGAGGAGGCACAGTAACCCTTGCATCCTTGTCTTCGCCGCGGAGAGGAGGGACGTCACTCATATCCACTGAAGTGATCGAGTCGCGCGGGTCATAACGGGACACACGACGGGAGATGCCAATATCCAGCACCTTCTCGTCGTCACTCAGGTGCTCCGGGAGCGGTGAGTGCATCGCGATTTCATCGAGTGACAAGCGGGTCAAATCTGCAGCGTCTTCCTCGGCGATACGGGGCTGGATCACGGGGGACCTCTCAATGTGTCTCGAGAAAGGGACGGAAAGTGAGCTGCTGGAAGAGTATGATCGGATAGACCGCGAGGAGTCGTAAGGAGTTCCGCTGGTGGAGGGGGAGAGTGAAGGGAGGCTGCTACCGTCGGCGCTGGTGATGGAGTCCCGTTGGGAATAGGTGGAGACAGACGCGAGAGACATTTTGGATGTACGACGCGACCGGGTGGCGGAGATGAACATGAGTGTTTCGTGCTCAGTGATTGGGGAAGGACCAGGGATAGGAGGAAGAGGGCCGGATGGGGGATTTGAGAGGGGCGAGTTCGAAGGCGAAAGGCGAGGAGACGGCGAACGAGGAAACGAGGATGAGGCATTATTAGAGTGCAAAGGTGAAGGCGGAATGAACGACGGCGGGGCAGGGAAGGCCTCGAGGAGAATCGGGACAGCGGCACGCTTGTCGCGTACCCGCGTCTCGGTCGTCGATGTCAACGCCATGGTGGGCTGCCTGGTAGCAAGTCATCAGCAACGTTCCTCACGGGTAGAGGCGCAATATGCACGAATGCGAAACGGGTGTGCATGATTCGCCACATTCAAGTCGATCTCTGTTGGCTAACTGCGCCGCGCCCAAGCTGCAGCGCCGCAAATCCGTCACGAGCGGGCGTGTCAAGCCTTAAACCGACGTGCCGCACCCTATGCACGACCAGATGGTTGCATCGCACGACGTACAAGTAGATAGATATCTGGAATCAAGGCACTCACTTTGAACTTGTCTTTCAAAACGCTCCCTGACACTTGTCTTCCAGCGAGCGGTGTTTGGTCCAAAGTTGGACAAAGGCGGCGGGAACCGCGTCACGTAAGCTCGATCAAAGCGCTTCGGAGGCCTATAGGAGGCCGTGGGGCGTGGTGAGCCGTTAAGACGGCGGGTGAGGACCAGAGGGTACGCACTAGACAGCGGCAGAGTATAAGGGGGGGTATCTTCGTAATTTTCGGGAAGCGAGCGTTGCCGGAAGAGGGTATCTAATTGTGCTAAAGCCGCCCATACGGCAGGTGCGCGCTCCGGGGGACGAGGAGCACAGAACGGGGGGGCAACCTGCAGGCCTCGGTGGAAGGACGGTCGAGGCTGGACGGGAAGCGCAGAGGGCGGAGTGAGGGGCGAAGAAAGAAAGCGAGCCAAGCAAGCCCGCCCGCCGCATCGGCCTCAGTAGGTACACACTCGCTAGCGGGGAACTGAACCATGCTGAGCCATGTTCCCAGCCAGCGCTTTCCCACCTTTCATCACTTCGCACAGATCACCAAGGCTACCCTTCCTTGGCTCTTCTCAACCACACACTTCGCAGTCTCTTGCAATCAGTCTGTCGTGAGCGGCGCGACCAAGGATCCCGCCACCTCCTCCAGACGCCCCGATTTGACAGTGTAAAAGACTAATCCGGGAACCGTTCTGCCACTTCCATCATCCCACCATCTTTGCGCAAAGCGCCGCTTACAGCAATCCCTGGGCCCCCGTGGGCTCGTATCAAACCTCCGGTGCCACTGGAGGGTCCCGCGCGGTGCACAATGGGGACCATCCATCGATGGCCTGCTTTAGCGTGAATATGTTGTGCCTGAGCGAGCTAAGGGAGTGTCCAGCGACCTTATCGTCCCAATTTCCTGAATATCAGCCCGCGCTAACCGCAGCGGTTGCTATTACATAGTGCCCTTGCTTCGAGTCGAAGGATTCTATGCATCGCCTTCATGGCAACGCCTCAATACCGCACTTCACTCCAGACTATCCCGCACGCCTCGATCATCAGATGTAGCGGTGCTGCGCCTCTCGGTTGTCACGCTGATCGTGGCGAGCCCGCTCCTTGGAGCTCTTGCAGGATGTCTCGAAGATTGAGTTCTTACTGTACCTTTCTTCCGCGGTCATATTGCCCTAAGCGAACCATTGGCAGCTTCGCCGCTTTCTCAAGCTCGTAGTTTCTGTGGTGTCTAAAGGACCGCTCGCAGTTATCTCCTAACACTACAGCGCCGCTCCTTTTTGCAGACCACCAGCGAGAGACATAAATTCTCCGTGCAGCCGTGGACATTGCACTCTAACTTTCAACTCAATTTCTCTCACCATCATTGCACTCGCCCTGTGGATTCTTTTGAGCAGGAATTCAGGTACTAACGCGACGGGGATTCGTCTTTGTTGTTATTTTACTGCAATAGGTTCTCATGAGCCTCTAACTGCTTGCGAACGAGTCATTGGTTGGTATCCTCGTTAGCGGCTCGGCCCTAGACGAGGTTGTCTGTCTTCATGCTCACGTGTTCCTCGGGAGGACGCTGTAATAACCATAGTCTTCCAACCCAACGCCGTGCACTCTTACAGAGTACGTATGATTGTCTCAGGATCGCTGCGTAGACCGTCGGGTCGGAGCCTTCGTTAGGCTTGAGCAGGTGAGAAAGTCGGAAGTTTTGAAAGGACACCATATATTGAGTACGAAGTGCGCTGTGAACGCCCTTGAGGTCTCCGCCCCTCAACCCGCCACACGTCCAATTCACATGCTCTACGTTGGTCGTGGAGGCAGTTCCTCCCGCATCGTTGCGCAGGTGATGACGGAGCATACTACATAGGTTCCTTCAAGAAATCTAGTACGTTCTCCGCCTTCTAGATATGTCAACTTGATACTTACCCCGTTGTGGCCGTCCTCCGTTGTGGCCACCGCTGCTGATCAGGAGACGATCCCGTTTCCTCATCGATTCACACGGCGAGCCTTTCAGCCTCCGACGAGCATACACAGAAATGAGTAAAACGTGCCGACAGTCTCCACTCGCTCGGGACGAGAGTACATAAACACAAGCTTCAAATAGCCTCTCGATGTTCGGCTCGGCGCGAGCAAGAAGCGCGCAACGGCGACTGAGCGACACGTATCACGAGGGATCGTTCGGTGTGTACGACTTCCACGATGGGACCGATTGGAGATCACGCTGCACGGGGGAGCTTGAGCTTGCCACATTCGCAATCGCGCCTTCTCCAGTTCTCGTTTCCCGTCCGCAGGGCCACGCCTGCACGCCCCCAGGCCCGTCTCGCATCTGCCTCCGTGACGCATGCTGGGCACGTTGCGGCCACTCCTTGCTACATTGTCCCAGCGGCGTTCTTCCGTATATCTTGCCCCCGTTGCGCGCGATAGAATGCGAGCGAAGTGCGTGCGGTCTCGTGTCCCGATGAACACGATAGCAGGACACAAGGTCCAACCCAGGCCCAAGTTTTCTGAGCTCTTCAACACTCGCCAGTCATGCAGCAAAACAAGCCTCTTTTCATCGCGTGGCTGGGCAAAGCTGATACGAGCTGCGTGTTACCGTGCAGGTGAGAGACGATCGATCCGACGGTGAGAAGCCTTCTTGGCAAGACTGCGTATTGCGGCTGCGTCCGAAGCGCAAGAAGTCCGCCGAAGTTGTAGTTAGTTTGGCATGCTTCGCATAGCTCGACCTGCCATCCAGATGATCTAGCACGGGCGGACATGCACGTTGTGATAGACATATCTGAGGCGATAGCACTACATGGTGCTATGGGAAGACTGCAGAATGACGACGAGGGTAACTGTTTGGGACGATGCACGTTGGTAGTGCAGAGAACGAGATTAGTCAAAAGCTTTCCGAATTCCGGATGTGCGTCGATACACCATTGGAAGTATCTCGATGCAGCAACTGTTCTATCACGGCCACGTCCGCTCTCCGTCCATCCGCCTTTCAACCTCGGAGCGCGCATAAGGAGAACGGAACAACGGAATACAGCCACCCGTGAAGCAGTTCCGTGCAAGGAGAAATAGCACGGATTCTGTCAACCGCGGGATTCAGCGGACAACGAGTGCCTTCCTTGAGCTAGGAACGTCGCTTCAGCACCAGGCAAACAGCAGCGTCGTACCTTGCTAGTGTCCTGTGGCCAGGTCATAAGTCGCGCGATAAGCCGCGGCGCGCATCCTCTCCTCGCCCCGCCCCGCGCGGCGCAGGGCAGGAAGCAACCCAAATACCCGACGCCATACGAACCAAGAGCTTCGCCTCCGCCTCCAGATCGTTAGAAGTTCAGCTCCGTTCCGCCGCTCTGTGCATTGTCTGCGCGGGGGTTGTGGAGGGCCCACACCTTCCTGCGTTCCGACTTCGCCCTACCCGTGCTCGAGGGTGTAGGTTCGATATCCATCCCTGAGAGATCGTCGTGCATGGCATCACGGTCAGGGGGGGAGGAAGGGTTATCTGCGGCTCGCAAGGTGGGTCGAATACCCAGCGCGGCGCAGAAAACCTTGTAACGCGAGCGGATCTGGCGGAAAAGCCTCGGAATATCGAGCTCGGAACTAGAACCTGCAGCTTCGTTTTCTGCGACTGCCGTGGAAGGGTTGACGCGTGGAAACTTTTGGATGAGCTCGAGAAGGTGTCGTATGTGGTTCTGAGCGCGTCTGCACAGGCGTGTCAGCATGAGGTCAAGACTCCGATTTCACCCTCCGCAGGTAGGAAATCGTTGGGATACTACCCATGAAAACAATAACACGGACTCGTACACCGGTGACTAGGCCGTATGTCCGGCGGTCAATGTCCGACACATAGCCAGATCTGGACGCCGCGTGTTTTAAACACGCACCCCACGCATACTGAACCGATAGCAAAACCAGACGCCGACTCACGTCTGAGAACCCACTCCGCCTCGTTCAGAGGATTCAATGTGGAGATATTGCGTATAAGACGCCACGTGTTTGCAGCCCACGACCTCAGTAAACTTGCGCAGGCGAGCCCAACGGAGGAAGACGCGATCCTGGATCGTGCGCGCCCGCGCACAGTGTTCCGATCGTTCGCTCTAGGCACACTGGGCTACGACGGACAATAGACACGACGAGAAACGCGAGGCCAGAAAGCCTCGAGACCGCCAGGCAGTCCACGGTAAAGGGCTGAGGAGGGAACTCTTGTTCTCAATCGACGGAAAAGCCCATGAGCATCGCAGCACGTAGTCCGCCCGACGGATGTGACGACTACACTTGTCCTTTCTTCAGTGACATGAGCCAAAAAAGGCTGCTCTTCTGCTAGAAAGACCGAGCCCGATGAGAGAACCACTCACTCATCTTGAGCTCCTTGCGCGTCGAGGATCGCCTTCCACATCAGGGCAAAGCCCTCGTAAAAGCCGAGCTCTTCCCACATTTCGAAACCCTTCTCGCGGCCAAGCGCGCGGCCCTCTATCAGGCCGTGGATGCGCCCGTGCGCGAAACCATCCTTGTAGCCGTCTTCGTAGAACCTACGGAGATCACATCGTTAGCGCATCATGATTCGCTTGGATAAGCACCCACAACAGACACACGTCTGCTCCACATTTACGAGGTCCTCGAGATCAAAGTCCATGCCGGATGTGTGCGGTGGAGCGACTTGTTGATGAAACAGGCTTCGGTGCAACGCCCTCGAGGTGTGTAGGTCCAGAAATTGATGGTCTGGGCCTTCATAGTAAATGGCATATTGTTTGACAAAGACATGTGCATGGTTTAGAACTCCGCCAGGTCTCACGAAAACCTTAAACAAACCCTACAAATCATCAAATGACTGGGAGGGTGCTTTTGACTTTCCATTGGACCTACATATCCTCCCTAGCTCGTGGGCTATGAGGATGTCATTTTTCGAATCTCAGTAAAAGGAGCCTGGCGATGCCAGTTCGTCCTGCGTGGAGGTGCAGGAAATGGCCCAATAATGGGGGCAGGAGACGTGCTACAACACTACGCGAAGGATAGGATACGTAGTAGAGCAGCCGCCATGACATAGACGGAGAATGATTTGCAGCACAATAGCGGATGCGAAGAGCGAAAGCAGCATTGAAAAGCGCCGTGGTATCGTACATCCAGAGTAATTGGGGTATCCAACGCGGGTCCTGCAATACAGGAAAAGTAGAACGCCCATGTCCGTATCATACCTTTTCAAATGCAAGCACAGACGGTGAGCCAAATCATATGAACGAGGTAAGACGAGCGTACATACTAAGCTGAGTTCCAGTGTCCAGACTCTGCGCGCCCAGAGCTTGATGAGCTTAGAGGGTTCCCCAGGCTCGGCGACGTCAACCTCTATACCATCCCACCAGCACTTGCGCTGCAAGGGCGATCAGTCTTGCGTGGATACTGGTAAGGAAGGCGACTAACCGCTGGTTTCCTCCAGAACAGAAGCAGCTTCTGCGCAGTGGCCATCTGATTATAGTCGACAGTGACTTGTCGCTCGCCCGAAGGACTCGTCGAGTGTATGATGCCTGTCTTGAGTAGGACAAGGGCAATGGAGGAGATACAGCATCTGGATGGCTCCATTGCGCGGTACCCCCATTCATCCTCGCGATCGAAGCCGCTACGATGACATTCGCAGCCACAGACGATCAGTCATATGTGCGCATCGCGAGCACCCTCGACGTACCTCATGCAAAGCATGTCAATCAGGTGCTGCTCCGCGAGGTTATTCTCCTTGTTGACGTTGCGCTGGAGCGCGGTGAAGATGTTCCGTTTGTGAAGAAGGTACTTGCCCGAATTCCTCTTCAGGTCGAGCAGCGCGTCGTTCGCGATGCCTCGCGAATCCGTAGCTTCCTGACCATCTTTCGGCGGGATAGAGAAGTACTCAAGCTCTTCACGGAGAACGATGATTGCTTGCTTCGTGAGGAGTGGGTTCTGGGATGGGGATGGACCAAAGTCCGACGTGGGCGAGCCACCCTCGAGGAGTTGCTGCTGTGCTGCCAGGAGGCCTCCGGGATTATTGGGGGTTCCGTAGAACTCGTCACGAGCATGCTGGAAGAAGTTCAACACATAGTCGAAGCAGTCTGGGTCGAACTAGGAGCAGGCAGGTCGGACACACGTGGTTAGTTTTAGATCACGGTTCGGCGAGGTGGCCACGCACGTCAACACCATAGAGCTCCTCATAATCATCGTTATCTCCTCCATCCGATAAGGCGGCACTTTGGCGGCTGAGGACGAGTCCGTTGGGAAACAAACAGAGGAGAACGGATTCGGGAAGGCTGAGGATGTTCTCGCGTTCGACCGTGAATCTCCTGCCGCGCAAATCGAGTAGCAGCCTAGTGAGGAGCTGGGGCTGCAGGTTCGTCTGGACAGGGGTCTGTGAGACCTGAGTAATGGGCGAGTTTGATAGGTTGACAGCAGCCATGGTGAAGACGGATCAGCAAGGAGAGGTCGATGGTCGGTAGCCAACCCAGGCGGTCGTCTACGCTGGCGCGCACGGCGCCCAATAAGCGCGAATCAAACGCCGGTAACAAATCCCCGCTGCGCGACACCAAGTATTGTCGCCGCACTTTGTCCAAAATACCACGTTCATTAAGTTAAGTGCACGCGGCAGAAGAATCCAGATTGACTTCGCACAGGCTTCCGTGGCCGAGACCACACATGTACCCCCTATGTACACCGACTCATCCCATGACTGGTTGCAGACTTGCAATTGGCCGCTAGCTGATGAGTGACAGACAGCCTGGTTGCCCAAGACCCCATGGGAAGTCCGTCTCAGGGTGTCTTCCGCTTCCGCAGCAATCGCCACGGTGAAAGCGGTCGCCGGGCAGGCAGGCAACCCACTGAACGCTGCATACCATTTACCGACCGTCGATCGACGGGCTGCACATTTGGCGGTCTCGATGCGATCAGGATTTCCGCGCCTTCGGTCCGCCTGACGCCGCCCGCGTCCCCTCGTGTTGGCCACCACGCGGCCAGCCCTGAGGCTTGCGGACGGCCCAGATCGACAGGATAAAGCAGATGTCGACACGATAGCAGCAGCAGGCTACAAACGAGCCTCGCCGCCTACCGCTTTCCAGACGGAGCGTCGCGAGGACCAACTCCCCGAGCCCAGCAACCGTTGTCCTGCTCGGCTGTCTGGTAAGCTGGCACCACAGCACAGGATCGTGCATAAGGTTTAAGCGTTCTGTTGGTATATTATCATCGCATAGCCTGCGACGGTATACGGGCATCCGGGAAACAAAGTTGAGATCCGGCGGCTGGGAGGACGACGGGATCCGGAAGGAGACAGGCCAATTGGCGGAGGATTCTATTGTGTAATATATATTCGAAAGTCCGACTGGGTTGGGGACCTATAACCGTATACACTTTGCCTTATCATGCGTTCTCACCATCGCACCTTAATGTCACCTCTCTGGACCGTTCCATCCTGATTTGAGCGCCTCTCTTCTCTCCAGGTCCCTTCTGGGATTCTTCGACTAGTCCCCCAGCATGACCTCTCCACCCTCCTTCTCGTTCTCCAAGCCGGCTATGCCAGGCGATGCGGTGTCGGTCACAGTCCTCGTAGAGGACTCCCCCGCCATGGCCGCCAGATGGCCCGACATTCGAGACGCATACCTCCCGAATCTACTCGACAACTTACGTGCCGCAGACCCATCAGCGGAGGTTCGTCTTCAGCTTGTCAGACCTCTGACTTCTCATTACCTTTCTGCCAATCCAGATGGAAGCTCGATGGCTCACGACCTCCTCCGCCTCTTCAGCACCCAGCTTTCCCATCACGGATACCGCCGAAGCGAGGAGTGTACCCGAGCTACCACTCAACACAAGTGGTATTGTCAAGCTCTCCCCGGCAATTATCACGAATGCAATCAGCGTAATGGCACACACTTGCTTGCAATGAACTTGCTCTGCTCACTCGACTTCCCACAGACACTGTCGTCTACCACTCGGCAGCAAAATACCACGAGGCATCTCATCCTCGTAGCAGCCACCGGGCCATCGACTACGGGTCTTAACGACGCCACCCCCTCAGGCTTTGACACGTGGGACGATATTGCTATGGTCCTAAAGCAGGTGGTTACTATCTCTTCCGTAGAACGATTGCTTTCTTGCTAATCACGGCTACATCAGCAATACATACGGCTGCACGTCATACTCAGCATCGGAGCGGAAATGAGAACCTATCATGAGCTCTTCAAGCGATCGGTGCGCGTGGCGCTAGAAGTTCGCTATGACGCAACGGTACTGACTGTGGCTCATTCAGTTGCAGCTCCAAAACAACTCGGAAGTGCCTGCGTGGTTCCCGGTTGACTCACGGCGATACTCCATCCGGTTATCAGGCAGGCCACAGTATGTGCGTGGCTCAGGTGAGTGTACCTGAAGCTTGGAGCTTAACGGCTTCGCTCCTTCCCATGACGCACACTAACGCCTGCTCTGAATCACAGGTGCCGTGCCAATCGCCTTGGTGTCGACGGCCATTCCCGAGGATCCATTCAACAATCCGAGCCCGGGCTCATCTCCCGAAGCCGCCTCCCCTCAGGCCACAACCCCCTCTCCTAGTTCGCCCATTCAGCCGACCTCGCCTGGCAGTCGGAAATTGCCTCATTCACCGACAACGCCCCGTACTCGCCCTCGTGCCCCTGATTCCCCGCAATCGCCTCCGGCCTCAGAGGGCGGAGGTCTTGTTTCCTACCTGCAGCAGATGCACGGATTGACGAAGAAGAAGAGCTATGGGATAAAGGCCCCGAAGAAGACGTATGCCGATATCCGCTTGCCGGGGTCTGGAAGGCCTATCTTACCTCGTCTGGAAGTACCGCAGCCCCAATCGGATCTCTACGCTTACCCGACGTTCGACAATGGACCTGCCTCCGAGATACGGGCCCCTAGCTCCGAGCCGCAGATACCTCCTCCCAGACGCCACTCCGTCGATCAACTTCCTGCTAGCTCCCTCGTGGCAAGGACGAGCAACGAAGATCGGCGTGCTCGCAGAAGGGGGCCCTGGTTGCCTATAGCCCCACTGGTCTCGTCCACGCCCTCTTCCCCTGCTACTGCGACGTCTCCTGGCACACTCGCTGCACTTCAGAGCTTAGCGTCCATGACCCCCCGCCTACCCGACTTCGTCACAAAGGAGCGCATGGCTTCCTCAGTCCCGACAGACCACCGCCCTGTCTACCTGATGACTGCCTCAGCCGTGCCGATGACTTCCGATCCCCATCCCAGTGCCGCTTATTACGCCAGTAATGCTTCAGCGTGGAGCCAACATGGCTCCGCTGTCTCTTCCAGTTCTCCCATCTCCAGCCCAACACACGCGCTCTCACCTGTATACCAAACGTCGCCCCCGACACCCTCGCTTGTCGGTAGCGACTATGCGTATAGCAACTCTCCGCCGAGCAGCGCTGCGTCCACTCCCGCGTCTCTGTGTGCTCCGGCGAACGACAGCGGTGACGACCAGCCGTTCATCGTCACGCCCGAGTACGAGGCGACCGTCAACGCGCGCTTCGATGAGGCCGTCCGTTCCGGCGCCATGCAAGCGAGTATGACCCCCGCTATCCACTCGGCCGTGCCATCGCTCTCCAGTCCGTCTTACGCGCCAAGCATTCCGGCGCCCGTACACCAGGAGCAGTTCTATCCCGCCCTGTCCCAGACGCAGCCGCATCAAGCAATGTCCCATCAGGGGGAAACAGGATATCCGATGTACTCTGTCGCAGGACACCAGAGCGACTATCTGTCTTCTGGCACTGCGGCGCAGGCGAACGCGGCATGGATCCAGTATGACTATGCTGGCAATGCGTACATGGCTCCCGTCTCTGGGTACAGCCCACCGCAGGGGCATTGGTATCCTGCTTGACATTGTGTATTTTGCGCATCTCGCATGTCTTCATCGGTTCGTGTACTTTGTTCGTCGTTGCTGTGCTCTCAATTTTCCCTCACTGTCCTAGTATCCTCGTTGTCACCCTCGAATTATGGCTTGTTGTGTATACGGTCCTTCCCATTCCTGGAGCTTTGTACCATGATCACCTTCTCTCTCGATTTATGGTGGTAATCACGGTTGTATGGTGAATGGCCTTAGGTTCATTGTACATGACATGACGCGATCACGCTCTGCACGACACAGTGGCATCTGACAATTATACCCCTGACGTATACCTACGATACACATAATCAGTCGTTCGCTTTCCTCCGCCAGCCTTCGGCTCCGTCCTTACCTCCATCACAAACGGAACTCTCTCTTATCTACGGTATCAGGTTGTCTGTATCAGTTATAGGGCTCAAGGCGTTGTTCATTCTGTAACATATGTAGCATATCACTTTCTTGCGCCATCCGAACTACGAGGACCCGACAGCGCATCAGCTCTGTGGACAGGGTCATAAGTGGTTCGTATTTGCTCAGCTAACCGTAGTTGGCTCATATGAAGGTCGGCTATGTTTTGTGGTATCATGGTCCACCTGAGGGAGGTTATCTGTGATGCAGCCAGGGACGAATGCAGTTGACGGCAAATAGAGGACCGCTGAGGCCTGTTCTCCCGGATTATGGATGATGGCGAATGCGCGGCGGGACGTCTAGTATCACTGCGTGCTGCGTATGTGTCTGACCGGATGAAAATCCTCCAGGCTTCGGGCCAGTGACGATTCAAGGAGAACACACTCGTCATCGTTACGGCAACTCGAAGTTGCTGGCAGCCCAGCTCGGCGGTCACGGAGCCGAGTACCATAAATATGTCTTTGAACGGCGTGGCTTGGGACAGACCAACAGTCAGAGCCTGCTGCATATACGACAGTGAACATTGATACCCGTGGTAGCCGATATCAATGAATTGAGATGAGTGGGAATATTCTAATTATCGGATATTTACGTCTCGCTACGGCAGAGGACTTTGTATGGGAGCCAGTCTCCGGTCGAAGACTCGGAGTTGGTGTACATATAAGCCTCTGGGAGGGAGTTGCGGATTAGCAGGTCTCGCACTAGAGATGAGTGGCCTACCGAAGGACAAGAGTTGCTTGACGAATAGGCGTTTCGGCTGGGCAAAAATCGCGGCTCACGCCTTATGAAGGCTCAGAACCAATGATGAAAACACTGCGAGAACTCGCAGGGTACGCCGATTCCGCAGCATAGTAAGTGCCGGAGAAAGTGGAATGTAGGATCACCCACCTGGCTGGCCACAACTATGGCCATAGTCGTAGTCGTAGCCGGCCAGGCGGGGAATCCTACGCTCCCCGAAAGGCTATAGCCAGTTACGCCCACGTAATCGTGACCGACCAGGCGAACAGAACGACAGTCTGTGGGGAAGACCTGACGTATAACGGGCAAACTGATGGCTAAGTTTCTCTTCATCTACTCACCAGGAATGGCCCACATGAGAGCCGCAAGGCAAGCTGCGGCGTTCTCGCTCGTAGGATCGCTATCTTAAGACTCCGTCGGGTGTTGCCGTCATGCCTCATAAGCGACCGCCTGGCAGGGACATATGTACACAGGTCGGTGTTGTAACTTCTCGTATAGTGCAGCAAGTACCTTTTGTCCATCTGGGTGAACTTGAACTTCCTAGCGGACTCCCTGACATGTCCTGCTAGACGCCTTTGTGGTTGAAACGGGCCTCTTCCCCAGTGATTGCCGCGCCCATCATGGCGCATGTGATATTTCTCGCATCCCGTGCATGAAAATCCTCTCTACCGTACTCGTATCAGGACGATGACGGACTTCTAGAGTACATTGTGATCTAAACCTTTATGTAACTGCGTACATCAGGGACCCTTGGCTTCAAACTTTAGTGGCAACCCACCCCAGCGACAGCGTTGTCGGAGTCGTTCGTGAATGCCGGGCTACTCTTCGTATCATTTGCACCAGGAACATCCATACTCGGGTTGAATTCGAAGAAGTGCGTTGGCCTGAAGAGCAGGCGAAGATGCTCGACCGGCATCACCGGCCAATCTTCTGGTCGCGGGATGTGAGTAATTCCTGTGGAGCGGTCAGGACTCCCGCCAAGGCATGATGGCAGATACCCCCAAAACGCACCCAGCGTAAGGTAGACCAAGATGTCCTCCTCAGCAAGGTTATCGTTGCCTTTCACCCAGTTCGGGAGCGAATCTTCAGGAGTGTCGCGCGTCTGCGGCACGTACTTGCCCGACGGCCACATACGCCCGCCATTGGGACCCTCGACGTCCTTGACGACCCACACCGGCTTCGTCGCAAATGACGCACGCTTCGCAACAACGCTGTCAGGGAGCGCCATGAGCGGTGCCTGCGCACCCTTGCTCATGATCGTATACCCCGCGTTACGCTTCGAATGCGGATGGACCTTCTTAGGGTTGACGATCGACCACCGGCGGTCTTTCGCGTGATCGTACTCGCGGGCGCCCTCTGAGGCGACTTTGATGGGGGTCCCGCGAGTGATGAACGCATTTCCGTAGTAGTTGGCGACGGAACCAGTCGGGGCATTGGGCAGGGGGACAATGTCAGTCTCGACGACGGTATTGTTGAGGCCGTCCACCATGGGATCAACGCGGACGGAGAAGATATGTTGGTGGTAGTGCGCGTTGATGTTCGGGGCGAGGGTCGTTCCGAAAGCATTCGGCTCGTCGTTGTCGGCAACGTAAACCTGGAGAATCCCGGTAAGGCGGATCTCCACCTCGATGTTACCATCCTGGTAGAACATGTAGTTGAACAAGTACTCTGGCGTTTGCCGACTCAGGACACGCCAAACACTGGATCATGACGCCGTTCACTCACCGTAGTTCGCGAGGGTGCACACTTGCTGAATCACGAGTCTGCGGCTACGCACGGCTTGGGCGCGTCCACCGACACGATAGTCAGTGTGCTTCCAGAGCAGACCAGCGTCCTCTTCGTGGATGCATATAGTGTTCTTGACCACTACCGCGGTACCGTTGTGTGCTGTGTAGGCTCCGTCCTATAATTGCGGTCAGCAGCCGATTTCATTGCGAGACATTTGGAAAACACCATATAATGGATCTTGCCGAGGCAGTCGCATCCAAGCGTCAGCTCGTTCGCCATGGTGCCCATGCCGTATTCTCCTCTAGAAAGATATTCAGAACAGCTGTTTCGTCGGCACGATTTACTTACACGTCGAATGCATGTTTACGAGGGTGCGGGTGCTCTGGCGCCCCGTATGGGACAACCATTTCTGAGAGAGACAAGCGGTAGAAGATGGGCCGTATAACCCCGTCATCATTGTACGTGATGGTGGAGAGGGCGACACCCTCGCGATGGTGGAATGCTGCTCGCGAATAAGACGCAGGTCATCACAGGAGGCGACACCCAACTCACCGACATGCATCTTCCACTTCTGCCATTCGATCTCATGACCGTCCACTTTGAAGCTGACGCCCTCTGGCTGCAAGATGTGCAGTGGCTTGATGTCGTCTCGAAACTTGAAATCCTTGTTTTGCGCAAGGAGATCGGGGAGGAAGTCGTAAGATTTCAGAGGTGGGGGAATACGCTTCCTATTTGCAGCAGCGAAGGCATCTTCCTCAAGAGAAGGAGGGACAGTGGTCGTCTGGGTGAGGGCAATTTCGACCCCGGTGCCTTCGAATAGCGCTTCGGACGTCTTTGCCTTGTAGTGAGGCGGGAAATCGATGTGGATGACTTTCTTGGCAACAGAGTCAATGACAGGGACGAAATCCTGAATGATCGCAGTGAGGTGCCATTCATGCATGACTACGAGGGATCGACGCTACTGACCATAGGATGCGCGTACAGATTTTCGTGACGGCCCCTGCGAGCAAACAATAGAGCTTGCTGTATCCGGACATTCCCAGGGAAGCGGGTATCGTATCCTATGGCCCATCCATCCGCGTGCAGTTGTTCTGGCTTCACACCTGTTGAACCTTTCAGCAACAACGCTATCGGCGTCTTTGAGTACGATCGCTTACCGACTTCCGCAGCAAGCTTGATGACTCGCTCATCCTTTTGAATCACTTCCTCGCACAGCAGAAGCTCTTCGACGGAAATCTGCGGTTGAACTCCGTTGGGGAGTTTCTCGAGTGTGTCTACCACCCAATCTTGGCCAGACAGGGAGACGATGGTATTGTACGCCGATCTGCATCATCGTTGATCGCTCAGAATGGCAGTAACTCCGACTACACGACGCACCCTGTGACAGCATCGACGAACTACGCGTGGAAAGCTGATCAGTCAGATATCGACCGTCGAAGAGCCTTCGGCACGTGGGACTCACATCGACTTCAGCCTTACGGATGATCTCAGTGGCGGGCTCCGGCTTCTCTCCAGTAAGGAGAGGTATGCCCAGGAAAGCTAGCACGGCTTTCTTGGGGGGAGGTAGCAGGTAGCTCGTAATGAATCGGACGGCCTTGATGTCAGTCTTCTCAGCGACATACCGCCGTACGATGAGAGACACGGCGACGATCTGCGCGATCCAGATAAGCGGACATCGAGTAGGTACTAGATCGGGACGCATACCTCTTCTGGTGTCAAAGGATCAAGCGGATGCTTGAACGGCGGGCCTTTGAAAGGACCTGCAGAGGTCTGTGCCCTCGTCGCTGTGCTCGGTAGAGTTGAAGGGGTAGACATGGTACACAAATCGTCGGAAGAGATCGTGGTGAAGATGAGCGCGAAGCCTTCAAAGTAGCACGACAGTTTACGCTACATATAAAGGCAGGCGCTTCACAGGCCCTTCGTATCTCAGCTTTTCGCGTGCTCCGGACTGGCTGTCACCTGAGAGTAGCTAAGAGGTAAGATCCAGCCGCTCGCAATCGTCGAGGGAGTACGATCAGCCTGTTATCTACACATGGAGGACTCAGGGAGGAGATGAGTGGTGGATCTCAATCGTCCGCTAAAGCATGGTTTGGAGACCGGACAATCCGTCCTTGTTTGTTGTACAAACGCTAGAGTAGAAGTTGCCGAAAAACCTGGTGCGCTCAAAGAAGTCTCCGCGCGTGAGAATCAGGCGCCACATGACAAAGCACGAGGACGCCTGCGCGTGATCCCAAGAGCTGGTGAATTCAGCCGCCTAGGCGAGCGAGAGGTTTACTAGGTGCCGCTCGCAGGGACATGGTTCGAAGCAAGTCGCGACAGACATATATGTAGTATTAAAGTAGGTACAAGGTTGCCCTCAGGGCGCTGGAGCAAGGCCAGAGACAGGTGAGCGAATAACGCCTTGCGGGTGCAACAATGTGATCTAGTACACTGTACTAATCAGGCTTGTAGCGACGGACAGGTCAGCACCCTCAGGGTACGACGATTGGCGAAATATACCGAAGGAAAGAGCGTATATTCGGAAATATATCTACAACAATTTCGACTAAACAGTACTGATCTGCATTATTGAAGTAGAGGGAACATGAATTACAAAGACCACAACACCACACGACCATGAAAATTGTCCGACATTAACCCGGCAACGAAGCCTCGTACCTCAACATCGGAGCCTCACTCATGCGGGGGAGGCTCATTGAGGTCATCGGTTGACTGGAAAGTGGATGTCAGACAAATGCGCATGACAGTGGGAAGATGGCGCACCATGTACACACTTAAACAGGAATCTCCAGCAGATAACCATCCCCGCGATGATCGTCCCTTGTAACGCCCTCATTCCAACCTTCAGGCAGATCCCACAGGCACACAAGAAGCGTTTGGAGGAAGCGCTGCGGACGGACAAGCACGTAGTGAACGTGGACTTTGCTTCCGGACTCCACTTTCGCCCCTTTGGTCGACGGCGGTGATTCGGACCCTTGCTGGTTTGCCTTGTCGAGCAGCCGCTTACTCCTACGTCGCGATAAATTCGATAGCGGCGCTGATTGAGGTGAGAGCTGCGCCGCGCCCGCAACATCAGCAAAAAAGCGAAAGAAATGGTCAGTTATGTCCGGCATCCGTCTTACATGGCCAGATTGGCGAGATATGGCAAAGGGATGGCGAAAACTGGTAGAGAATCGCCAGGTATGCTCTGCAATGGCCGGACCTTGCGGGGTGCCTGAACACTGACTGTCGGTCCTGGCTGAGCATCGGATCATTAGTTACCATAACGTAGAGGGCGTATGGCCGACAATGTACGTTTACGACTGCGCCAATGAACATCAATGGTAGGTAATTGGTGAGGATCCTGCCATGGAAGGACACACCCAAACCACGATATGGTCGTTGAATGCACATGTGTGAGAGATATTAGCTGATAGTTTGGATCGCACGCTGGTGGACATTTGTCTTATCCATAGCACATGATCATTGGAAGCAGGTAGAATACATTGAGGACTACTAGTACGCAACATGGAGATACTTATTAGGCACGCCGAGAACACAAAATCAGGCTGGTTAGTAAAGCCACTTACCAACTCAGCAAGAGCAAGAACGAACCTTTGAGACATGTACACGACGATGTAAGGGTACAAGAGACCTACCGAAGAACATGGGTGACATACACATAGGACGAGGCG